CCATCCATCCATCCATCCATCCATCCATCCATCCATCCACCCATCCATTGCCTTCAAGATGATATGCAAACCTGCAATAAAAACTCGAACCAATTTGTATAACAATAGTTTTGCTTATACAGGAGCCAAAATCTGGAACGCTTTTCCAGATGCCTTAAAAAGCGAACCCTCTATCAAAATAAAAAATCTTTGATTTAGCATTGTCAACACTGAAAATTAGTATTTTTAAATCGATGTATATCCATATTTAACTTATTTATTATTTTTTGTAATGCACGGCTTATAGGTAGACCAGATTTTTGTATATGTAAATTTATGTGACTATTTGATATAATTACTGTGGATAAATAAAGTTTCCCAATTTCCAATTCCAATTCCGATCCATCCATCCATCCCACCCCATTCCATCTATCCATCTATCACCATATTCAGCATTACATTCAACTATTTTTCTTTTATTTTTTTATTTTTTTCTTCCATTGTTTCTAGCTCATCGCGACTGATTATACTTCCATGTGTCTTTTCATAAAGAAATACTGCAACCTATATTGTTCAAATTTAGCAGATTTTTTTGTTATAGTGCCCCTCACCTCCAACTTAATATTTTCAGTATTGATTCTACATAAAGTGAATATCTGAATAGCAAAATACTTTTATATGATTTGAGTGATGCATCTTGGAGATATTAAGGTTTATACTTCCAGAATGCTAATGAATGTGATGTCATGGTAGGCATTATTAAATATACGAAAATTTACTGGGGTAGTAAAATATCCTGTATAAAACATAATTATCTTACTCAGGGTTTATAGAAAGATTATTGCAAATTTGTTTTCTCATAGTAATCAGTGTTTTAATTTTAAAATTATGACAAATAAACCCAAATGCACTTTAAGCGTTATTATTAATTATTATTTATCAGTGTTACATCGTATTTCAGGTCGAATGTGTCAATAAAAATAAAGGTTGCAAGGCCATAATACTCAGGTGCCAGCTGCCGTCACATATCGACAAAAAGTGCTTATACAGAGAAGTTCAGTGTCAGTTTTGCCTTAGAGAAGTTCTTGAAATCCACTTGGATAAACACCATGAAAAATGTTCAAAATTTTTAATTGAATGCGAAAATAACTGTGGCGTCAATAGCTTGCCTAGGGACCAGATGGAGGAACATATAAACCTCCATTGCCCTCTAAAAATCAGGTACTGCAGGTACTTCCATCATCTTGGATGTGAATTTCAAGGCACGGAGGAGCAAATCAAAGAACACGATAAAGACTTTTATAACAAGCACCTAGAGCTTTCCGGACAACATGCTGAGAGAACAGAACACGAATTACAAACACTCAAGAAAAAGATCGCTATCTTGGAAGAAAAAAATCGACAATTTGAGAATCACGTGAAAGAACAAAATGAAGTTATTTCAAGTGTCCGAGAAACCCTTTCGACGCAGCAGGTTAAGTTGATGAAGGTTGAAGAATTTATTGTCAATCAAAATAAGACTGTGGAAGAGTTAATGAAGAAGGGCGGGAAAACTACAGATGAACCAGAACTACCTTTGGCGGTACTCAAGATGGTTGATGATTTACGAGAGCAATTAGAAGGGCATTCAAAGAAAATGAAAAGCTTGGAAAACGAGTCCGCCGTGAAAGCTTATACCCTTCAAGAAAAAAAAGACTTTAGTTTATCAAGTGGCTTAAGTGTTCCTGGGAGCTTAGAGCAACGTATTGGCGCTGGAGAAAGTTCGGTTGCTTGGCACGATGTTCGCCTTGCAGAACACGAGCTTCGGCTTTCAATTCTCGACCAATGTAGCTACGATGGCACTTTTGTATGGAAAATTGAAAATTACAGTCGAAGATTTCAAGAGGCTATAGTCAACAAAACTCCATCTCTTTACAGCCCACCTTTTTATACTTCTCGGTTTGGGTACAAAATGTGCGCAAGGGTTTATTTGAACGGCGACGGTTCTGGTAAAGGAACGCATGTCTCAGTTTTTATTTCAGTCATGAGAGGTGAATACGACGCCGTATTGCCTTGGCCATTTTCTAAAAAGATTACTCTTAAGTTATTGGATCAAAACCATTTGGAAGACATCACAGAGACTTTTAGACCAGATCGTAATAGCAGCAGTTTTATGCGGCCCAGAGCAGATATGAACATTGCGTCGGGATGTCCAAAATTTTGCACCCATTTGCGCCTGCAAACAAATGGCTATGTCAAGGAAAATACAATGTTCATTAAAGTCATAGTAAACTGAATAAACTATTTTTGAAATCCAACTACTTCACTAACATTTTCTGGACAGTATTCCTGCAATGAAAGTATTCACTCATCTCAGTCTTATTTCTGCTAAGAAGGGTCGTGAAGTCATGTTTATCATGCGGTCATTTTATAAGGGTTCTTTCATAAAGAAACTTTCAGACCTGATCAGAAACCAATGGAACTAGTTTAGGCTTGACCACGTAGTCATGAAATAATTCATTATTTTTTTGGTACGTTAACGAAAAACAGAACTACTTTACAAATCACCAAATATAATTTAGAACAAAGAAACTAATAAGCAAAAACAACGCTTGAAAAACAAAACCAAAAATATGACTAGTAATTTAAGAAAGAGAAAGATCATTAGTAAATTATATTTCATAGTGTAACTTAAAATGTTATCATTGACAGCTTCAACGTTTCAACAGCAACAATTGTACCTACTTTAGTGATTTTTTTTTTTTTTTTTTAACTATTAGTTTTACAACCACCACTCCCCGTACGGGGCTTTTCCTTGAAATTTTGTTTCATGAAAATGTTTCATGTTTATATGCCAAGAAAAATCGAATGTCTAATGAACAAATGATAATAAATATATATTGTCACAATAACGCTAATTGTTTTGATATCATCGTTAATATTTTTAGATAAATTTGTGAACCCTCGTTCCTGCATAGACTTGGTCAGCAAATTTTTGCATTTAACATTTTCCCCAAGAGTCATTGCGCGAAATCAAACATGGCGCTCGATCAATGAAGACTACACTCAAAATTAACTCAAAACAGTCATGTTATAAAGTTTTATTTCAAGTTTTATTTTTCTACTTTAGTTTCAAATAACGGCCTAGAATGCCTCAGTTGATTTGAACGTAAAAAACTTTGAAAAGTTTATAAAGTTCAATACAAATCAACAATAAAATTTTCTTTTGGTCGAATTTCATGATACAAGATCTATAAAACTATTAAATATTAAAAAATCTTTATTAGTTGCAAAGGGCCTTTTTGTTTTCCTAACACAGAACAATATCATTGGAATTTTTCAAATATTTCGCCTTATCTTCGGCTAAAATTATTATATGAAATCAAGGGCGGATCCAGGAGGAAGGGGGGGGGGGCTGAAGCCCCCCCTTCAGCAGAAAAAACGATGCTTTTTATATTGTTTTCCGTTGTGTTGACGGAAGAAACTCAATTAGCCCCCCCCCTAAACTCAGTTACCCCCCCCCCCTAAAATTTTGACTTGATCCGCCCTTGGAAATGGTTTTCTGTATTTAAGGAAAGAACGTTTTACCACCTACGCCACTTTTACTGTCTTACTTGCTATCTACAAGTTACAATTGTTTACTCAGCGATGACCAGATCAGAGCAGCTAGAATAATCTGCAAAACCTTCGTCTTCCCTTGCAGGGCTCAGAGATGGCAAGAACCCGCCATTGCATTGTTCGTCAGTAGTCCCGTCATTAACAGTTGCGGCTACTAACATTTCATTCTTGTTTGGAAAGTTTTCCTCGTTCACGTCTGCGTGAATCTCGTCCTGGCTCATTATTACAGAATCTACGGATTCTTTTCTGCTTATTGTTTTGGACTTCGATTCTTCATCCACTTTGCTTTCGTCTAATTCTGTTATATCGTATTTGGGGTGAAATATTTTCTTTTCTTTATTGGCATTGTTTGCTTCGTTAATTTTATCAGAGCTTTTCTGCGTTGTTCCTTGGGATTTTTCTTTCGCGTCTTTTCCCTCTTGCTCTACGTTAGGACTAGTCTCATCACTGCAAGACTTATTTCTCTTGCAGTTCTTTGCCTTCTTCTTCTCTTCTTTACCCTTGACTTTTTTCTCGGGCAGCAAGTCTATTGAAGCCTTATTTCCAGTTTCTCTCTCGGCTCTTTTAAGTTTCTTTATCAAAACAAACTCTAATCGACGAAGTAGCTTTTTCTTCCAATCGATGTTTTCTTTAACAATTCGCTCTCTGGTTTCCATAATCTTTTTGCTTAGCTCTTGCACGCTGAGACATTTATTCATGATTGATTTTGAACTCTTGCCTTTGTTTTCAACCTCCTCGGCTGATTTGTTTGGCAAAGACGAAGAACCATTCGTACTTATCTCTGAAGGAACGCTTGTCGTGGAGTCAACGTTGATTGTGTTCGAGGTGTCATCTGCTAGTACTGCTTTGTCACCCTTATGTTTCACGTTGAGATCATTAGAGGATATGTCTTTCCTTACTCTGTCTGACGCCTGTGAAACTTGTTTATAATYGTCACGATGCGATGGGATACTTGATGTGGTGGAGACTTTGTTGACTGGTTGCCCAATCTCTGCTGCGGTTGCAGATGATGATGATGGTGATGATGCTATCGTTGTTGAGGATGATGATGATGCTGATGGTAATGATGATAATGGTAATACTGATGATGATGATAATTGTGATGTTGATAGTGATGATGATGACGACGATGATGATGATGTTAATGAGGTTGAGGACGATGAAGATAATGATGCCATCTGCTCTCTCACAAGTTGATCACCAGAAACGTGCATTTTTTCAGAAAGGTTTGTTTTCTCACTCTTCGTGTCTGGCTTCTATGATTAACAAAAAATGATTCGATTAAAAAAAATACTAATTCAAATGAAGGGTCATATATGAGCTGCCAGAGGCGCCTTCACATGCTTTCAGTTCGACCCCTTTGAGCTGCGCCACTGGTGTACTTGCGGTAGCTGCGCCACTGGTGTACTTGCGGTAGCTGCGCCACTGCTGTACTGGCGGTGGTGATAATTAATGAAGAGTTTTTAAATCGTTTTTATTGTTTACAAACATTATACTTACTGGTAGAAGTCTCTGATAACGTGTGGGCTCATTCTTGGATGTCGATATAGGGTCCACAACACAATGAGATGATGTAATCGCAGAGCTTTTCTTCAATATCGCTCCCTTGGTTTTTTCTTCTCGACCTATCTCGATTCCCTCTTGATTGTCATCTTTCACCACAATAGAATGGACAGCCACAATGATTGGCATGGAGTCGTGGTCGAAAGCGTACCCTCCACATGGCTGTTGGGTGGTTTCGTCTTCCCTGAAGTTGTCAAGCAAAGACGAGACATCAGTTCCACAATGGTTTTTGTGGTCACCTTCGCTCTTTGTTCGTTGAAGTCTTACACTCGAGTTCTCTGGGCTGCGATTCTCATTTAAGCGACTGTTTTCCAATGGATAACTCAATCTTCTTGACTGTGGTGGTGACTGAAACATTGCTATACGATTCTTTTGGACAAGCGGGGCTTTTTCGGTATCAGTAGAACCAATTGGCTGTGATGAAATTCCCTTTTGGTTTTTCGTTTCCTTCAGTGATTTTTTGTAAGAAGCGAGATTGGGTGGACTACGAGATGCGTTTGATTTTGATGTCATCTCAAGGATTTTCTTGTCCTGCGATGCTTTTCCATAAAGGCGATCGCCATTAGGAAGGCTGCTTGAAAAAGTCGCTTGTGACATGACCCCTGGCTTTCCTCGTGTAGTCATGTTTCCTGACAAAGAAAGACAGCAACCTTTCGCAGGACTTGAATAGACTGGTAAGTGTGATAATTGATGTCCTTTACGAGGTGAAATCAAAGCCGAATCTGTTAAGCCCGACCGCATGACGACCTTGTCTCTCGTGGTATTTGTCAAGACGGGACAACCTTTTCCTTGAGAGTTCGGTGACAGCAACAATGAACGCAATGTTTCCTGTTTCTGTTCATGCTTTGATTTCTGGGTGACTGATGATGAAGACTGAACATTAGGACTTTGAGATACTGCTAGTTTTTCAACTTCGTGGTAATCATAAATTTCTGAGGCTCGTGATGGCTGTTGGGCAATTATGAATTGATGTCGTGAATTCTTTGCTTGACAATGGATCTCAAAAAGTTTGCTAAGTTTTGCTTGATCCGTTTTAGATAATTGTGGCATTTTCTGGTTGAGGAATCTGAACGCTAATTCCTCTCTTCTCTGGCAAGGATATTCTAGATTGTTTTGGATTGCAAGATTTTCCGTACCATTCATCTGTGAACGTACTACCTTATCTTTTACAACCGTAGTTTGTAAGCGATGGTCTTTAGACTGTCTCTGTTCTCTAACAGCAGAACTATCCTGCTTGAAAGGAGAGCGAGAATCTAATAAGTTCGAGGACACGTCCTTAGAGTCGTTTCTTAGGACATCTGCAACAAAAGCATTGTTTATTTGTGAGTCAGACGGTGACTCTGTCAACTGAGATTTCACTCTCCAAGCGTGCAATGCTTCATGGCTATCACAAAAAGTTGGAGACGAAGCATTACGTGAGGGACTCATGTGACTCCTTGAATGGTTATTTTTATGCAATCCTGATGTTTTCCTGGTAGGCGAATATGTAACACTACTATGGTGATCAGAATAACATTGAATACCCGTATGTGGTTCGTAGTGCGACCTCGTTGCATTCTGGGTAGTCACGAATGGCATTGTTTTGGCACTGCAAACCCTGTCATTTCTTACGTTTGAAAATCGAGGCAATCCTTTTGAGACGTAAGGCATATTGTCATAATGATGACAGTGACAACGTTGCGTTAGTTCCAACGCTTCTCTTTCATCACGTGGGCTATAAGTTTTCGGGGGGCCTATTGGCTGTTGGTATTCCATAGTATGTACTCTAGTGGACGATATAGGCTTCGAATGATGCAGTGTTTCACGTGAAATAGTTTCAAGTTTAAAGGGATCTTTTCGGGATTTTGAATGACACTTTTCTGATCGTGCTTGGGGTGGCGGCGAGTCACCAATGACAATTATATTTTCTCTTGACTTCGTTTCTAGTTTCGAATTCATTTTCATTCTCTCATTAGCTTTAACTAATGGTGGAGGAGGAGGCAGGTTCTTGTTTCTCTCATTAATCCTACTAAACTGGCGTTTATTGTCATTTCGCTTGAAAACTTTAAAGGCAGAAGTGGCGTTTTCCCCATCTCTTTCAACAGCATCCGCTGACCTTTTGTACATCTTACGAGATGAAGAAGGCTCACTGTCCCTTAGATTACGAGAGTGTTTATAAGAATTATTTACCAATAACTCAGGTTTATATGACACTCCATTGAGTTTGTTTAAGTCTTGATTGACAAACGAAGACGAAGCTGTAAACCCATCCTCATCTTGTCGCGATAAAGATCGTTGAGCGTCCCAATATGGCGTATCCCGGTTGAGTGAAACTTGTCCAGGATATCGCGCATAGGCCATGTTTGGTTTAGGGATTATGATATGATTGAATCTCGATGTTCTGAAGTCTTCTGACTCGGAAAAAGGCGAGTTGTCTCCAGTTAATCCTGCTGTCGATTTGTGAAACGTTGGATCTTCCATGTGATCGGAAACTGGAAAAGAAATGCAAAAAGTGCTTATTAATTTCTTTATCTTTATAAACTAATACCACATATACATAAAATACTTGTTTCTGATTGGTCGATTTCTTAATCCTCGCAATTAATTAATTACATAACGCGAGCGCACATCCGCGCACACACTTTTTACCGTGTGTTGTTGTTTGAAATACAAAATGTTTTACTTCGAAAACGCATATTTTATGTAGATGAATTATTAAAAGGAAATACCACCTTAGTTCTCGAAAAATTAATGAAAAATACCGCTTGCTTTTGATGAAAAGGGGCTTAATACCACTCGTGCGTCTCGAAAGGAAGTATTTCCTATATTAATCTTTAACTCCAAGGTTAAGAAGAAATTTGTTAATCCTTGAGTAAATCCTTCGATCTCATGCAAGATAGATATTATTGTATTCCAATTCCTATCAAATTATTCCAATCCGCTGACTTTGTATTCAGCTGTGAAAACAAAGTTCAGCAGCGGCGTTTCATTAACTCAAGGTTACAAAAAACGCCGTTCACTGACTTCATTATTCAGCTTGCGCATCAATCAGATCTTTCACTTTAATTTGATATGCGTAAATACAGCTTGAATATTAAGGGAATAAATAGTATATAACATGTACTCATCAGCTAAGGGGTTTCAGCCTTAACTCCTAAACGTTCAACAACAAAAATCCTAGACAAATCGTTTCATAAACATTTGCACATGCGCGATTGCGTCACGTGACCAACTTGGTCCAACTTTGTACCCAGACACCGTTCGCCATAATACCGATCATATGGAACGCAGGCTTCATTGATATGCGTATTTTTCTTTATTCAATCAATGTAAGAAAATAAACCAATTAACTGGATAAATTTGTATTTTTATAATCTGATGTGCATGCGCGGCAATTCCGCCTTCCCAATTATTAATTGTTTTATTTTCGCTTTTAATTCTTCAAGTTGGCCTTTGAATTTTTTGTGACCGGCATTCGTCAAGTGGAAGAGACAGAATCCTATAGAGAACCTGCTTACTTAAAATTATGTTGGGTGGCATTTAAAATGCAAGAAGCCAGACAACAAAGGTTTTCAAACGTTGGTACCAAAAAATATTTTAATATTAAGTGTTTACTAGATTGACCAATTCTGCTGATTAAAAACTCATGATGAATACTCAAGAAGTTATTTAATAGTATGCTTTTTACTAAAAAAGACATTGGAAATTTTTGAAACACGTCTGATTATAAGAAAGCCATTTTAAGGTCGTCCGGCACTGTCAAAAACAACCAATGGCCTTTGAACATGTGTAGTCTGGCACGAGAAAAACGTGTAGATAAAGCCCACTAGGCAAGCCGAGCAAAGAACTTCCTCTAGTGAAGCTCTCTGAACTCTAACTGAATGAAGATCTATCTACCTTGACCTTAGGGAAGAATAGCTGTACAAGCATACTATTTGGGTGAATATCAAAATCTGGCCTTTTTTCCAATATAAATATAGATATAATATTTGGAATCGTTGAAACCTGTCTAGAGTTCTAATACCATTAAAACTTAGTACTTACAACCCGATATTCGTTGTCCTTGCCACTCCCGATAGTGTTGAGTTGTGCCATTTGGTCTTCGAGAGGGGAACCTAAGCGATGCCCAGGAAATGGGATCACGATTAGTTGACTGATACTGTAATTCCATAAATACTATGCTCTAGTCTTGTAAAGGCTTGAATTCTGTGGCCTTTATCAGCTGGGAATATAATGGAAAATTACCCTGAACGTTAAAAAAGCAAAAATTAGACCTCGGCAAATATAAAAAAACTAACTTAGGTGAAAATTTGAAATGTCCAGAATATTTCTTAACACCCCCCTTAAAGTCATGCAAAAAAATACGATCCCCCCTAAGCAAGGCTTGTAGCTTCTCCCAAAAATTGTGCATCCCCCCATTTTTCTGATAAAAATTTTCCCATCCCCCCCTTTAGTTTCCTACCAAAATTTTCCCGATCCCCCTTAATTTCACCTGCCCCTCGGCCATACAAATATGAACGCATCCTTAAGCATTTCAAACAACAAGCATAGCATTGATTTTTTCTTTGGCGGATGTATGTAACCATTGTGCTATAAATAGTATCGTTGGAGCGTTAACGAAACCGGCTTCTTAAGATAAACTTGATAAACTACCGCCTGAAGTTTTTAAATAATGAAGTAAGGTGTTTGTCAAGTTTGTATTTGTTTTCCCTTAAATAAAAATAACAACAGAACAACTGCAGAGGAAAAAGTAAACATGAATCATTACTATTCAAGGTTGAATCAGACACCATATAAAGTTRGGAGAGAATGTTACTAGATACTATACCTTACTCATTATGATCGCATGAATGGTCACTTTTCCGTTTTTGATTATCAATATCAATATCAGTTGCTACGATTCTGCGAGCTAAAAATGGCGGCAGTTGCCTCTCGGACTTAAGTCGCATGAACGAATACTCCTCCTTGCAACAGATCAATACTTCGAAGAATTTCATTGTCGACATGAAAACAACATGCATGATGCAATCGCTCCATATACTTATGATCAAAAAAAATTCTGTAATAAGTGACTGGACGCTATTTTATACTGATGCTTTAGCGGTATAACATCACGAAAAACATTGAATCTTTATATTTGTAAAACCAAAATCACTTGTGCAACTCGATTGATTCCAACAAAGTTTTCAAGACTTCTCAAAATGTTCAACTTGCCTTAATATTCAGTGACAGCCAATATCTGATGTTTTTGCTCTCTTACTCCTCCTTGCAACAGATTTTTTACTTCACTCATAAAGTCAAATTTCAATGGTCTGTTGGATATCACGGTTGCCGACAGCTTGTGGTTTGCTTTGACTTGATAACGAAACCTGCTGTTGTTCTTTGAATGGTGTAATTAGAAAATACTTCGAGAGCCAATAAAATGACTTCAACGATTAATATGTACCTGCTCGAGGTTCGAGCGAATAAATAGTAGGAAAGCCGGTGGAATTTTTGTATTTATGGCAGGCAAACCTGGACGAATTACTTGGATATGAAATAATCTCGACATTAGAAAATCTTGTGATCTATGCCGGAGTTGACACTCACAGCAACTCTCCTATAGATGCTGTGCTGTGTTATGCCGACGACCCTCTAAAAGAATGGCCAAAGCAAATGAAAGAAAATAAATTTACTTCTTGAAATGACTGCCTTAAAACTGTAAACGATCCTTCCTTTACCTTATTATATTATATTATATCATAATATTATATTATATTGTTAGAAGTTTTGAAGTGAAGATATCTTAATTGTGGGTGATAGGTTTTTGCGTTATTCAAGACGAGTTGACTTTTCCGATTAGTGTAACGATCTCGAAGAGAACTTACTTTGATGATATATAAATGATATTTAAAAAATGATACAAAATAAGGGATATAAAATAAGTGATATAAAATAAGTGATATAAAACAAATGATATAAAATAAATGATATAAAATAAATGATTTAAAAATAAATTATTTCAAAACACTATCCAAGAAAAAACATGGCTATTTAGAACAACGTTTATCGTATATATATAAAGTTCGTAAAGTTGACCCAAAATTCCCCCAAAAGAATCAAAACTTACCAATCATTCCCTCATGTAATAAGATTATTAATTATAGCTTCCAAGATTTTAGTCATTATTTKAATATTCCGTGGATTGTTTTTTGACACTTTTCTGCTCTCATCATCGTTGAGGAGTTGACGTGTCTTCATCACTATGGATCGATCACTCAGCGCGCTTTTTATACTCCGACCCCTCGTTACGTCAACAATATAGTACGTCATGCTCCGTGGCGCGAATAGAAAATAAATTTTGACCTGGCAAATTTGCCTTAGGGGTGCAAATTGTTTGCTCAGAACACGCTTTGCTTAGGAATTTTTTCAGTATTAAAAATTCATTTGAAGTAAAATTTTGAAGGTATCTATTTTTAGCCTTCTGAAAAAGCTTGGTATTTTGTTTATTTGGTTTGGTATACGTCGATTTTCTTTAAATACATAAACTTTTCAAGATATTTGTTCTTTCAATTTTATTTTTAATTATATCGAATAGGATTTGACTCCAATTCCTTTTTGATATAGAGAACAATAAAATAGCCTCTAGGTTGGTCGTTCTAATGGGGAATGCTTCGTTATCGTCAACCAACATGGCGACTGTGTGGTAACATGCACCCAAAATTAGTTACATCAAATTTAGAAGATTTTTATTTTTACTCTATTTGAAAAGGAGGTTGTTTTGTTTACTTGGTTCGCTCGTAATTATTTCGTTGTGCAAGATAAGTTTCTGATAAGTTTCTGAGCAAAATATTTTTATCGTGTTATCATGATGTTGAATAGACTGTGAAGGTCGAGAACGACCCAGTCAAGTTTTAATAAAAACCACTCATCCAAAAATGATCAATACTTCGAAGAATTTGATTGTCGACATGAAAACAACACGCATGATGCAATCGCTCCATATACTTATGATCAAAAAAAATTCTGTAATAAGTGACTGGACGCTATTTCATACTGATGCTTTAGCGGTATAACATCACGAAAAACATTGAATCTTTATATTTGTAAAACCAAAATCACTTGTGCAACTCGATTGATTTCAACAAAGTTTTCAAGACTTCTCAAAATGTTGAACTTGACTTTATATTCAGTGACAGCCAATATCTGATGTTTTTGCTCCCGTCCAAAAGGAGTATGGAAAGGTTTTTGGAGCAGGCAAAACTATTAGACCATGGGAAATTAACAGGAAGTTAACTGATTTCTATCAGTTAATCGTTTCTTTTTAGTACTCAGTTTGAATGATGTCGATGGCTCTTAGTTTCGAATTGATTATGTGAGACATCTTAAAATCGGGCGTGAGTAAAGATCCATGCACTTAGTAGCTAACGTCGAGTCATGCAGTCATTCAAACTCAGCTTGCGACTGCCTAGCCTCCTTCGCAGCCGTTCTTAGGGTCGTCACGCAACGTTACGACCCTAAGAACGGCTGCGAAGGAGGCTAGCGACTGCCCGGCTCCCGAGTTCTTTAGGTTTGATGGCCAAAACTAGGCCTTCTTTTGACTATTAAAAAAAATACAGACTTAAATTGGCGCGCTTTTTTGTCCGGATGTCCACTGTCTTTTTTACTACTACATATACTTTATCTAACTTTTATAATCTACGTTACCAATATGAATTGAATATGTCAGAGATCTTATAAAATGGCGTGCACTTGTCTAGATCTCACCTCACCGACCTCATGCCGCCGATTCAAACTTTGCGAGTACTGCCTCCCGAGCTCAGTCTTCCAATTTTCCAAGTCAGTATGTGACACCAAAAATAGGTCCTCTTTCAAAACAAATCCGTGCAAACCTCGATTGGATCCTTTTGTTCAGCCGGATATCCCGTCTCTCTCTTCTTTCCTACTCTATCTGTGGTCATTATGAGTATGCCATCGGAAGTCAAAATAGACTTTCGGTATCCAATCAATATCAACACGACTCAGTTCAGAACGTATCCTATTTCCCTTTATACTAACAAAACGTCATGTCTTATAAACAATAGACCTTTTCCGAATTAACTTGAATGGTCATGAAACAATCAAGTTTGAATTCGACGTTATCCAAACGAGAAAGGTTTATTTAAAACTACAAATTTTCGCGCGCTGATTGGCTATTCTTTATGATCGATAATAACACAGACCAATAAGCTAACGTCAACGAAAAGTAAACTTGCTTGTCAGGTGTAACTAAATCGTCCAGAAGTGTCTTTAAAATAAAGATACGATGCTATTTACTCTAGACACATGGCATCAAAAGCTAGAATGACTAAATGGACAAAAACAAGATGATCATTTCATTTTGAACCCTTGGAAAATAGACTTAAGTTTAAAATATATCAATTAGAAAGTGAATGAGATCGACGTCATCTTCGCCATTTTCTTTTGTTCCTTAATAAAAGCATCTAATTTTTAAACGTATTAATGCTGAAAAATAAACAGCTAAAAATAGATACTTATAGAATAATCAGACTACGTTTGTTATGACGAAAATAACAAATTGTTGAGACTTGCTTGTGTAGTGCTTAGTAACTTTGTTCGAGGATACACAACTAGGCCGTTTTTATTACTCTATTTTTCTTCGTGTTTATATAACTCATCACTCTTCGATCTATCTGTAGCCTTATCAAGTGGGCTGCAAAATCTGTTGGGCTTTCTGTCCACCATCGAGGGTTAATCCGTCTAGATTGTTTTAGATCATGAAATCAATACTTGGCCATATTTGTTTGAATGAAACGATGACGTACGACCGAAACGAGCCGTCATTTTGCAGAATCATACAACGCCGAAAACAGTTACCAAATTTGATCTCTCTTTCAACCGATCAACGAGTTAACATTCCTTCAAATTCATTCAAAATTATCATGCATGTAAAGCCAACGACTGAAAATTTGAACAAATTTTCTAGATATAGTTTTTGACATTTTTTCTGTATTTTCCGGTTAGCCTCTCGTTTTGTAAGAAGGCTAAATATYATACCTTCTAGTTTATTTTTGGACTTCGAAAACATTTTCCGCACGCGAAAATAAATAAAGAAAAGCTATTCTGAAGAATTTTCAAAACTATCTTCTAAAAATAACATGGTTGTCGTTGTTGGGGGTGAATAAGTCATAAGTTGTCAGGAAATTTTTCAGGACAGAACGAGATTCGCGCCTGTTTTGAACTAGACTCCGTCAAGAAGGTTTATTCTTCTATATTTGGGGCTTTAGATCTCTACTGAAATTCTTGGGGAAAAATAGACAAGAAAAGACAGTTTGAGAATGAGTTGACGATAAATCGGTTTTCTGGCACAAATTTCACTTCTCAACGTACAAAAATAACGGTATCACTTCAATCACTTTATTCAATTCTGTTTATGTAGTATTCAAAGTTTTGAAATAGCTGTACACATATATATCATATGTGTTTGCTCGAAACATTTTACGACCGTAATGGTATCTTACATACTCAATTTAACGCATGCGCATAAGATTTTATCGATTTACTAACATCAGTCGATAGTATTAATAAGGCTTTAGAAAAACAAAAGTATTCAAATACGAGAATTTACGTTTAGAAAGATAGATAAACCTTTTTAATTTTCATCTCCCTCTCAAATCTTGTCTGTCTGTCTGTCTCTCTGTACCTGTCTGCTTCGCTCTCTCTTTTTCTCCCTCTCATTGTCTGTCTCTTCTGTATACTAAATCTGTCTGTCTGTCTCTGCCTGCCTTTTTTCTCTAGCTCTTCACCTTTTTGACGATAGCAGTTTGGACCGACTGCTATTTAACCGGTTTCCAGCAAACAAAATAGTGTGACTATATAGGTTGCCCAGGAGATGAGTATCGATGAACCTGTTAAGTATTGTCACTAAGGAAGTTATTACGTCTTATTTATTTACAAAGGTTGAGCTTCGACTATAGTCGGTCTAGCGGGATGTTTGTATAACAGATAAAGACTGAGTCCTCATGCATTCATAATTTTCTATTAATGAAATACAAACAAGCTTTGACAAACATGTTTGATATTAAGAA